GAGGAGCTGATACCAAGGCCTCAAGTAGAAAGAAAATGTTTTGAAAAAGATGATGGCAACATATGTACAAATGTGCTTGATACAATGGATGTTTGGATTGTTATCAGAGCTTCCAGAGCCCCCAATAAAATGATGAAAAAAAATCCTCTGTCACATTAATTACCGCTGCCTACACCCCCACCCCCACCCCCAGCTGCAACAGGGTTTTCTCCTGGTGGCTCTTAGCTGCCATTGAGCTGGCTCCAACTCGTGGCAACCTTATTCCTGACAGAGGCCATGCTGCCTGGTCCTGTGCCCTCTCGGTGACCTTGGATGTTCACGTCCATTGCTGACACTACTGTGTCACTCCAACTCATTGAGGGGGCTCCCTACTTTTTGCTGACCCTCTCATTTACCAAACATGCAGTCTGGCTAGAGGTTAGGCCCTCCAGATACAGCTTACAGAAAGCCCACCCGCCTCACTGCAGAGCATGTGAGCAGTTACTCTGAGAAATGACAACAGTGGAAGCCAGCTCGTTAGGCACGACTTACTCTTGCTTACACATCATTACTGAGTGGTTTTGATAACCCTCCTGACCAGACTCTGTTAGAAAAGCCAAAAGCGATTGAATGTTTCTATTTTCCATTCGTTATCCTCATCTCTGAAACCCTAGGTAGGGTCCCTACGAGTCAGAATTGGCTCGAAGGGAGTGGGTTTGGGGTTTTAGTTAGGGCATTAGTTCCTAGACTTTATTTCATTACTTATTACTTGATCCGGTCACTCTAAGCGGAGGGACATCTGTAAGAGGACTGAAACAGATCAAATATTTAAATGGACGGTTGAGGGCACGCAGACGGGGGAAATGCGCCCCCTGCACAGAGGCTGGGGTGGGGCAGTCAGGTGGGAAAGAGAAGGCCCTGGGGGCAGAAAGAGGAAGAAGCAGGCAAACTCAATCTTTTGTGCCCTGGCAGCCTCCGGTGCATCTGCATAGCTCACTCCGTATTTTCAAAGCCTCCAACCTGGATGGAACACTTCATTACAGTTCACACTCATGTGGGCAAGAGCACACGCCTGTACCAAGGTCCTGCTGTGATGTTTTTGTTGGAATATTGTAGTAGTTACATAATCTGGTGTCAACTTGAAGACTATTAAGAGTGAAAGGGTGGAGTCTAGTCTGTCAATCAGGTCACAGCCAATGTGGCCTTTGTGTGGGCATGGCCTTCTCCTGAGGATTCTGGGAACTCCTGTCTTCTTCCCTGCAGGTGGAACACATACTTCTGCAAGGCATTTCTTATTGACAAGTCACATGGAGTTATGCTGATGGAGCCAGAGCCTTGGAGCTGGAGGAACCACGTGGAGACCCATGCCAGCTCCATGATGCTTCCACCACCACTGGATCCACAAGACTTTTCACCCACTGGCCTGTGATCTTTCTGCATTAGGAGTCATTGCATGTGCTGCGTGGGTCTGAAGAGGAATTTATAGACTGGTTTTGGACATATGGGCTAATATCAGACATAAGGACTTGATCTGGACTGGGCTGTAATGTTTTCTCAATATACAATTACTCTTTTATATAAAGCTCTTTCTTATACACGTGAGTGTTCATGAATTTGTTTCTCTAGTTAAACTAGACTAACAGGCATATTTTTTACAGATTCCTTTTAGGACAGAGAGGGGAAAAGCTGAAAACCTTAGGCAGGACTAAGGCATAGTCCTTTCTTCGAACTTCATCCTCTTTTGTCTCCTGGGTTAATAGGCTTCCCATGACAAGCAGGCCCTGGACAAGCATCTGCAGTGGTAAAGCCAGACACTGAACAGAAGACTCAGCATCACTGGGACAAAGGGCCCCGGGAAGTGGGGGAAAGAGGTGCTCTTGTCTGTCACAGTGAGCAGGGCAGCATCGCGCACCTGCACGCACATAGTTGGTGGTGCTGTCTTTCCTGGTAAAATGTGGCCCACACACCGCCACTCCCCTTTCTCACATGAAGCCCTTTCCCACCAAGCTTGACTGAGGCTTGCGGCAGGGGGGGTGGGCCGCGGAGACACACATCACCCATGTCTGGCACAGTAAATGAAATTTCTCTATCAGCTCTGCAGCTGAGAAGCTGCTGTGGGTGAGGCCACACCACTGTTGTCCTGGCCGACCCACCCCCCGGACAGGAAAATGGGGCTCGATTTGCAATTCTGCTGCTGCCCCATCCTGGTTACTAGCAGGCTGGCTAATGGCAGAACAAAGACAAAGGGCACATTGGCTTCCACTCACCGCGGCAAGGCTGTCCTGGAACTCCAGCAGTTTGGCGCTGGCTTCCTTGTAGTTCTTGAAGAACACACACAGTTCATATGTCTCGAGCATCAACAAGAGGGGGGAATCCTTTGAGGAAGGTTTTGAATGAAATTACAAAGTCTTGAACTTAACCAATAATTTTTTTTCCCAATGAATAATATCAATATAACAGGTTAAAGTACAAATCTATTTGGACAAAAGTACAAACAGGTTAAAAACAAATCTATGAATAAGAGCTCCGTAACAGGGCTAAATTATGTATGTTGAAGAGAAGTAAAATTTGTATTTCCTTTTGGGGACAGACACTCAGGTTGGCCACACCTGCCCATCAATCCGCTTTCGGTTTCTTCTATACGTGATCCACTGCAGAGGAGCCAGTGTGCCACTAGGTGGTGCTATGGTGCTGTGAGCGCTAAGGTGCTCCACTGGATCAGGGCACATTTCCATCATTTCTGTGGGGCTTGTTTGGCCAGGGGAAGCAATGTAGTGCAAGGGGTAACACCAAGAGTTTGGGAATTAGAAAGAATGGGTTAACTATCATGTAGTATGCAGTTTACTAAAACCCTTTGAGACCTTGGGCACCTTACGTTCTGTGAGTCTTGGTTTCATTATGTTTAAAATGCAGATCACAGTACTTCATAATGTCATCAGTAGTTATGACGTAAGAGCATTGGGGTTGGGGTTCAGACCATTGCAATAAAGCAGGTATCCCAATAAAAGGAGCCACACATTTCCTGTTTTCCAGGGCATATCAAAGTTACAGAGTCACAGGCACACCCTAAGGAGCCTCCGTGGTGCTGTGGGCTGGGCATTGGGCTGCCAACCACAAGGTGGGAGGAGTTCATACCCACCAGCTGCTCTGAGGGAGAAAGATGGGCGAGCCACCCCTTGAGGATTTACATCCTGGAAACCCCAAAGAGGGTGACTATGAGTCAGACTGACTTGAGGGCAGTGAGTTAGGCCAGGTTACAGTCTTTCGCGTGTGCAATTACATTATATAAAAATGTCTGAAATAGTGTGAGAATTACCAAAATGTGACAAACACACAAAGTGAGTGCACGCTGTGGGAAAATTTGGGCTGACAGACTTGCTTGATACAGGGTTGCCACAAACCTCCAATAGATGCACTATCTGCAAAATGCAACAAAACAAGGCATGTCTGTATATGATCTCTGTATAATATTATTGTGAGATACCAAGTCATGCACATAAAGCACTTTGTTATATAAATCACAGCTCTGTTACCAATGGCATCATCAGGTTGTTGGCTAAAGACACCCAGGGCTCCTGCGATCCCAGGGATGAGAATGAGAAGGGACTACCACCACCTGAACGAAGAGCTGGAAGCCTCTGATGAGAGTTTTGCTCTTCTGCTTGGCTAGCAGTGTTCTCCAGGCAGCTGAGAGGTCCCCAAGGTCCCAGGTATGGCCCTCGATTGAACCTTGAAGGTGATCCATGGCTTCAGCAGCAACACTCTCCTCCACAGAGGTGATGATCCAAACACAGAGACAAGAAAGAGCACTGGCATCCTGCCATTGGACAAGAGATTTTGAAGTAAGATAACTGGACCTGGACTGCCTAACAGAAGATGTTTCCAGCAATGCTACGGCAACAGATGGACCCTTCCTGGTAGAGCCAGTCACCTTGAAAAGCCTTCTAGCATACAACGGGGTCTCACATGCAGCCAAGTGACCCTGATGAGACCTGCAGTGTGGCAGGTCAGAGGCCCAGGAGAGACGGAGGGGCTGCCTGTAGGAGCAGGAAGTGCGAGAGAACAGGACTGCTGCTGAAGGGACTATCTGGAACAGCCCCTCCTGCTAAAGACGGAGCTGAGGAGCAGTGGTGTCAAGCCACCAAGACATTATTTTCTGTGTCCTCCAAGCAAGGGCCAAGGCACTGACCACTGAGTTCAGTGAACGACGAAGCACGAGGGAGTGCTCGGGTAAGCCACAGCATAAGCCGGAGCACCACAAAGAGCTAACAGGAACCGCATGGTGAAGGCTCGCTGCACACCCTGATGATCAGCTTGCTCTCTCACCACTTTCCCTCCTCCTTTCTGGCTTCTCAGAATCCTCACCTGGAGACAGGAGGCCAGGACGCTCAGGATTGGGGCCTGGTGTCTTATTGCTTCTGCCAGGAGCCAGCACCATGAGTCTGGCTCCTCTGAGCACTGGAGCAAAATTCGAAAGAGATCAGTCATCTGTTCTTTGTTTTCATGGAGCCTCATGGGGGACTTGTTGGAGACCTGATCACTAACCACTCCGGAATTGAACTCTGAAGGTACGTTCTCAAAAGCCAGTCTTAAATGGTCTTCAAGGACTGGGCTGAAATACTGGAGAAGGGCTTTCACCTAGAAAACAGATCAGAGTATTTGCTTTAAGTAAATTTCATGTTGTATCTCAAGCCATAAAAACTATAGCTCCTCAGTATTAATGACTAGCCAACCCACTGAAATCTTAGTAAAAATAACAGCACTGTATCAAACAAAGGCCTATGTCCACAGAACAGAAAGAACATGATTCAACTTCTGAGGAGTGCCCCGTTTCCTCTTTTTGAATAACTCCCAACCATCGGGGGTCTTACCTCCTCCGTAGGGTAGCCATGGAGCTGACTATGAATAATGAACTGCAGCCAATCATTTGCTTTGGCACACTCTACGAGATATGACGCACTCAGTTTCATATGGTGGAGCCTGCAGAACTGTACCACTAACGCCCACTGGCTGCTAGCTTCACTGGATAACCTGTGATTAGAACAGAGGGGAGAGTGATGGAGGGAAAAACTTATTAAAACATAGCTTTAGTCTGAAACTGGAAAATGGGCAGATAATAAATTTAACAATAGCCTCTGAAAAGCCTTTCAGCAAACACCAAATATTAGACTACTTTTTTACTTTTTACAAACCTAGACTCTTTCATAATGCACAATAGCTTTCCCAGTATCCTGGAACAATCCTTCCCTGCATTGAGCCATCAACCAACCATCACAAAACTATACTGAAAAACAGTATTTAACAATACTGTGGGCCAGAAATAGATACGAGAACCAGACTCTGCCATAAGTTAGAAGATGCAGAGAGCTCCACACCCATGCCACCCAGAGTAGAGGAAGGGGCACTGGGCCTACTTGCCGGTAGTGGAGCGTCCCGCCCCACAGGAAGGGAGGCAGGAAGTCTAGCTAAGTGCCTGGATGATCCCAGGTCTGCATTTTTTTTTTTCCTAAATGGAAAAGGAGTTTGTTTGTTTTTTTTAAACTATAGAAGTAACATGTACTTGTTAGCTAGTTCAGAAATTATAGAAAGTTACAAAAATGAATAAGAAAAGCAACTATAACTGCACTATCCATCTTTACAAAATATCACCTAGGTATTTAGTGTATGGTTACATGTTTGCTTGAGTGTATATAAATAGAAACATCTTATTTCTAGAATTATTCTTATAACTTGTTTGCATTTTACATAAAAATGGGTACTTACAACATCTACTTTTTACATGGTCAGGAATAACTACAACTAAACCCGTGTGGGAGAACAGGCCACTACACTGACACACCCACTCTGAACCACCAGAACCACACAGGGCCTGGGCGCCTCCCCTAGAGAACAGGCTTTGGGGTAAGAGGTACAGCAGAAGACG